GCCGCCCTGCCGATGGAGCGAGCAGAGCCAGGCTCTCTGCTCTCGGCCGTTTCTCACGAGGCAGCAGGCAGCAGCAGCGCAGGCGGGAGGCCTCGCCGAGGATGCTCTGGTGGCACGTGCGCGATGTATAGGGGAAAGGCGCTACGCCGCTATACGTCCGTCATGCGAGCCCGGACATGGCAGTTCGGAAATCAACCCACCCTCTCCCCGGGGGACGATAGATATCAATTTGGAGAAGTGCCACAGCACTAATTTCACATGTAAAGAGCATAACTTTCCACAAAGCATCCAAGAAAGGAGATGGACTTCTAAGTGCTCCTAAAAATAAATGAAAACCACAGATGGCCTTTCAGATAAGGCAATCTAGGCTTCAGGAAAGCCAAACAACCTATCTGTAGCGCTGCTCCCGACATTACCCGCCTCCCGCAGTTCCCTTGCCCAACCAGACGCTGACAACTGCCACGACATTTACAGGTGTCCAAGCCCCGAGGGGGCTGGCTTCCACACGGCAGAAATGTGAGGGGGGCTGATAAGGGCTGTCGCAACCTCCGCCCCACCAGTGATTCCAGTTTGCGCTGGCGTCACTGGGGCAGGGTTCGGGTCAGCTGGCTCTCCCTCCGGCACTGTGTCCGACCTCGGATGGGGCTTGCAAGCTGCCCATTTTGGCAAAGTCAGGTGAGGGCTTTCAGGGCTCGTTCTGGGACCCCGCAAATGTCCCGGCCCCGGGGACTACCGTCCCACCGTGGCCTTGCTGCAGGCAATGGTGAGTGACTCTCAGAGCAGAGCAGGAGCTCGGGAGTGACGCTTCTTGCAATGAGCCCCAGTAAGCTTCAACTGGGTCACCAGGGATCACCTGCACTACTTTTAGCACGCTAATTTTATTAAGGGCTACTGGTTCTAATAGTTTCAAGCTACTCCAGAAAGTTAGATAAGTGTCATTATCTCCTTTTGCAGAGGAAAATTTCCTTTTTAAAGAGGAAGAACCGGATCCTCAAGGCCAGCTGGGAAAGCAAAAGCTCAGCCAGGAAAGGGTGCCCATCCTCATTCCCAACCCTGAGCTGCCTCACCTCACCTGCCCGCGCTCTCCCGAAGGCTATCGCCGCTCCTCTCCTTCCCCTGTGCCCCCTTCCAGCCCACGCGCCCAGGGCCAAATCCTGCCCTTCCCTCGCGCAGCAAGGCGCTCTCCTGTATCAGCCTCCGGCCACGAGCAAGGGGCAGGGCGGATTCACCTCTGCTCTTCCCAGGGAAGCATCCGCAGCGGGAAAGAAAACATGGGGACACTAGTCATTAAATAATATTTTCCTGAAATTTCATCTGAGGGCTCAGTAGCAGCTCTGGGCACTGAAGACGCTTTCCCTAATGCAGAGGCTTAACCCCAGAAATAGGGCAAACACAGGGATACGGCACAGCATGACCAGCTCTGCTGGAAAAAAAAGCCGGCTGGGAACCAGCGTGAATTGTTAGTGCTTTAGCTTAGGGGAAAATAATCCAGAAGCTGAGGGATTTAAGGAGAATTACAGTAATTAGAGCCTTGATCAAATTAGTCAGCCCTTAGCAGCAGCAGCAGGATTACTCCTGGAGGCCAGCACTTCTCAACATTTTTCAATTAAAGAGCTGCCTCACCTCTTTGAAAAAAAATCCACTGCTCACATCACGCAGCAGCTCACTTATGGTCGGCTAAAACTGAGGTGCAACTCTTACCACTCCTTTATATCTTTTATTTCCCTCCACAGTGGGTTTTTTTTTGCCTGTGTGGGAGTACGATTTGGGGGTTTTTTTTACATTTTTCATTTCAAGTGGTTCACATAGGACCTGCTTTTGCTGTAAAGTCCCCTAAACGTCCCCAGATCACAGGCTGAGAAGCACTGCTGGAGGCCAACAATACATCATGTTGGACTATAAATAGACAGATATTCCTGATTATAGCAAGAAAGCAGGGAGAAGAAACAGTGCATGGGAGCTTTGGTCCCAACTGGCCCACTCATTTTTTATATAGCCTCAGTTTTATAATAAGCATCAGCAAAACAACAGCAACGGGAATGCAAACCAGCAGCAATGGGAACCAGGCAAAGGGCTGTCCCAAGCCAGAGCAGCTCGCAGCTTGCTTGCAGGTACCCGTGGCAGAAAAGGGTCTTTGGGGAGCTGGGGAGATCAGGGGAGAGCTGCACGAGCAGGCAAGTGCCCTGACCCAATGCAGGCACTGCCGAAAGCTGTTGTGGGGGAGCGTGACCAGCAGCATCTCAGGCAGGGGCATGGGACAGGCAGGGGTGCTTGGCGTTGCTTGCCAGAAAACTCTTGAAGGGGTTCGGCCCAAGGGCTGCTCCTCGGGTTTCTGAGAGCGGTTGAGTTAGAGACAAATGCACTGTCCTCTGCTGGCCATGAAACAGTTGGATGAAGAAGGTGCCCTCCTCCTCACGTGCAACATGCTCTGCTGGGCTTCCCACAGCCCAGGGACTTTGTCCTGCACAGCGCGACAGACAAACCCCTTCCCACCGGTGGTCTGGTACGTGGGTAATCAGGAGTAGAGGCTCTGAGTGACCACTCCTGCTGATCATCTTTTAAACCTGTGGTCTAACACCTGCATTTGTTCGCTGTTTGACCAGTAGGGTGAAGGGGAACGCTACCAGGGAAGCCTACAAAATCTGATGTCAAGGCTTTTTCAGGGAACGGCTTCATCTGGTTTAATTCTATCATTTTGACACCGCTATGTCCAGTCAGGAGAGGTGCAGGAGTTTAAGACCACAGAAACCCAGACTGGGAGAATCCCACCTGACTCAGAGAGGAGAAAAATGATCTGTGACCAGAAGAAAGAAACTCCTCCAACCAAGATACATGTAGAAATCAAGCCATTGTTTCGGCTAAGAGCGAGCGGCTGCCTTGAGCTACAGCCTGGGCCCGCAGCAGCGCCCCAAGCCCGAATTACTGCAGGCACGACTTGTCTGAGCTCCCCTCGGCTGCCAAGCCAAGGCCGTGCCCAGGCACGCAATGAAACCCTTAGCTCAAGCGTGATATTACCTTGAATTCATGTTGGCTGGCTATCAAAAGGCATAAGCCATTGCTAATGTTCACGCAAGTCTTTTAGCGCTAATACAAGTGCTCTGCGGTTACAGACTTAACTCTGTTCAAGTGCCATCCCGGACATCTCTCTCGCAGCAAAGTCTGCTTGCCGGGAGAAAAACTCCGGGGCTGGCTTATCTAATGAGGACACAAAAGCATCCCAGCAGGTATCTCCAGAAACGTGAGCGTTAGCTCTGAGCAAGCACAGTCAGCAGGTCACACGTGCGTGCGGGTGCCAGCAGAAAGCGCTGCTGCTCGTGTTCGCCCCATTTCACAGGGCTCAGTTGCTGAATTTTTCTGGAGAGGGACGTAAATACAGCCTCCTCACCGACTTCAGCTAAACTCACAGCTCCAACCACAGATCGGCACACGTTCAAACTGGGATTTGGATTAATGGCTCAACACAGCAGCACAGCCGTATCAAAAGCAAACAACTAATTTGAGTCTTCAAGTTGGAGGACGGCACTTTGCATTTCACAGTCAGGGAAATCAACCAAGCGGCTGATTTAATGAGATTATGGCTAAAACTGTCCTCTTGCATTGATGCCCTGAGCTCAGCTGCACTCTCAGAAGAGTGGCGCTGCCCCGGGCCACGTGCCTGACGAGGGTGGTTTGACTGCAGGGACCAGGGATGCCCTGATGTGACACGGTCTTGCCACCAGCCTGCTCTGCGCGTGCCTCTGTGAGCGAGTTTGGTTACTGAACACTCCCAGCAGCTGCTGCCCCCACTCTGCACACCCAGAGCGGCCTCACCTTTATCCCCTCGATCCTGAAGCCCAGCGTGGCGGTCGAGCTGATGGTCTCCCTCCACTGCATGTAGCGGGGCTTGGTTACTGCCCGCAGCACGTTCTCCTCCTCGGTGGGGGCCTCAGGGTCCACCTCAATCATCTTCTGGTACATGTCCTTCCTCAGGCTTGGCTTTTTCCGGGCCTTTATCAGCTCCTCCTCCAAGTACGTCCTGCAAGGAACGAGAGGGGAATATTGGCAGGTGCCACGTACCCACAGACAGCCCTTCTCCCAAAAATCAGGCCTGTCCAGGATAGCTGATCCCTATGGAGCAGGGCAGAATGGGAAATAACAGAGCAAGCCTCACTGCAGGTGAAGTGACCTTGATTTAATTAGCACCCCACCATCAACATATGATGTCTTTTCAGTTCATCAAGGAACCACAACCAGTTTGGCCATAACAAGGGAGGTTGTTTCTCACAGGTGCCCACGGTGTTCCTGCTGCCACCCCTTGGTCCTGGGGGACCTGTCCCCCAACACTCAGCAAACCTGAGCAGCGACTTAGTGGCTCTCACAAACTAAACATGGCTTTCAAGATGTGCCCAGGAAACCGCCACGTGCTCTGGGACCGGGCTGAGTTGAAGGCAAGAGGGAGGTGGCTGCATCCCAGCCCTCGGCGTTAGCCGCTGCTCCCGCTGAGGTTTGGCCAATGTGGGCAGCGGCTCCCAAAGCTGCTCCCGTGCCTCTCCCGTGCTTTCCCATCCCTTCACCCCGGGCACTGCGAGGGCTCTGCCTCACCGGCTGCTAAGCAGGGTGTTTTCACACGGGGCTGTTTCGCTGCTGCTCGTTTTGCCCAGTGGACTATCTAGCAAAAGCTTCCTCTACAGGATGGAGCAGAGGAAGGGACGCAGCCTTGGCCAGGCGCTTACCAGCACCCCCGGGGACGTGGGGTGCAGGCGGAATGGGGGAAGGAGGATGGAGGGTTCAGAGAAGTGTGCAAAGACCTTGGTTTTATCCATCCTTCAGAGGAGCACCGCTCTGTGCCAGCACACTGATGGAGAACAACTGCACTCTGGTATGCAGAAAACCACCATCCATGGAATAATACTTCCTGCAGCAGTAATAAACCACTACGTAACTCCTCTTGCGGCTCCCAAACTTGCCCTAGCGCAGCCTGGCAAGTGCCCAGGCTCTCTCCAAGCAACTCGCCAAGCCAGGTGAGATGTCTCACCAAAACAACACAGGAATGACCCTATCTGTCACCTCCTTCCCCCCAAATCCAAACTGCTCTATATCTCCCACTAGCCATGCCCAGCTCTGCAGAGGGGCCGTACCCTCTCCCCAGGTCCCTTGTGCCAAAATCCCAGCACTGAGTGTGTGGTTCACCTCCAGAATCAAGCAAAACACATGGGGAGGATGCTAGGCAGACTACGTGGGATGGTGTTCCTGCGTTTCTCACAGGCTTAGCAAGGCAAACTGGTGTCTTTTGTCAGGGCAGGCATATGATCACTGAGCAGACATCCCCAGGGCATCAGCCCCTTTGAAACACACGGCAGATAAAAGTGATGAAAGGCTTCAGCTGACATCACCAAACCCATGACTTTTGGGCAGATGGAATAAAATAGCAGAATAAAGCAGCGGTGTGCTCATAAGTGCTGCTCACGCCACTCGGAAAGCTAGATTTCCTTTTGATGAGTATGGCAGATCATCCACTTCTGTGGTTCAGTCCCCCGCACTGCTCTAGGCTTGAACCTTCACCAGGGCTGACAAAGTTTTGTTTGGGGACGACTGGAGGAGGCTGCTGCATCCCAAAGCCGGGTTGGCAGGAAAGAAACCAAACCTGTATCTGCCTGGCAGCAAGCTGCTGGCTCAGACAGGTTTAATAGCCCTGAGGTTTGGTTTATCTGCCAGAACCTCTCCTGCCCGGCCGCAGGGATGCCCTGCTCCCCAGCACTGGCCCAATTTAACCTCCCTCACCAGCTCCTCCCACAGCACCATCTCATTTAATGATGAGGATGTCTGGCACATTTGCCCCCTTGCCTGCTGTGTTAGCTCCACAAACCCAGGCGCACAACTCGACCTGTGATTTGTGTGCAGGAGGCTTGCTTTCTCCCAGAGACAGCCGCGGGA